TCCTCCTCCTCCTCCTCGTCTCGTCTCTCTCTCTCTCTCTCTCTCTCTCTCTCTCTCTCTCTCTTATTTTATTTTTTATTTCTCTTCGTATTCACGGAACCTGTCGGTATGGATACAGGCTCGAGCAAGATCAAGCAGGTGCGCATAGTCAAAGACAAGGCCACCGGCGCCAGCAAAGGCTATGCTTACCTCGACTTCAAGCACACGGCCGATGCCGAACAAGCACTGCTGCTCGATCGCACACAGAAGCTGCACGACCGCACCGTGTTTGTAAGTGTCATGAACGCGCCCAAGTATCTACCTACTGTAGATGCCAATCTGGCGCACGTGCACGGCCCCAGCGGGCACGTAGGGGATGGGCCACGGGCGGCAATGACGTTGTTCTGCAAGAGCCTGCCCCCTCACTCCACCATCAAGAGTGTCAGTGCGATGTTTGCGAAGGTGAGTGTGTGTATGTCAACGCAGGTGGTGTATGGCTGGCTGGCTGGCTGGCTGCGGGTGTATAGGATGGGTACAACGTAGTGTAGTGTGTGTGCATAGGCCCTGTGCGGATGAAATCGGATGCCACGCGCCTCTGCTGGTTTGACCGTAGATGGCGGTGTAGGTTGTGCTTTTAAGGCTTAACCAACTATCCTATATACAATTAACCCAACTATCCACCTTCTGTCCTCTTGGTTGGGTTATCGGTACCATTTGTTCATGTAGCTGCGGGGCATGTTGAGATTGTGTGAGTACTACTACCACCAGAACGGTATTGTGATTTACGGGGTGTGTGTCGTTGGCGTCCAGGAGTGGCGTCTCCTCACTTGAGATGGATGCCATTCATGGATTAGTTGGCTGTGTGTTCGTTGCTCGTGTGTAGAGATAGCTCACCAAGTGTTATTCACGCGCATGTGTACGTGTTCTGTTCCCTCGGTGTATAGTCTCCCGGGATGACACCAAAGGCTGTGACAGGAAGCGTTTCTTCCTTAGCAGCACATGGGAGGTGCATGAACCATTCACATAGTAGCCCTCGCAGGAGTGGCAATCCCTGCTCGTGAGTGGGCACCTACACTTCGTGTTTGTGTGGCAGTGTGCACTGCTGCTACCTGTCGTTGGTGTCATCTGCGTCTGCACACATGTGGCTCGTACCGCGTATATCTGTGGGTATGAGAGCTGTGCCATTGTGTGCTTTGGTGCGCTCTATAGACTGTGTGCGGTTTCTCTTTCACCAGCGTTCGGCTAGCTCCCTGCTGTGAGGTCTCCTCAGCCTCAGAGCAGTGACTAGCAAGAGAAACCTAACCAACTATCCAACTATATAAGTAACGAACTATACAACTATATAAGTATCCAACTTTTCAATTATCCAACTATATAAGTAACTAACTATCCAACTATCCAACTATATAAGTATCCAACTATCCAACTATATAAGTATCCAACTATCCAACTATATAGGTAACTAACTATCCTACTATCCAACTATATAAGTATCCAACTATACAACTATCCAACTATATAAGTACCCAACTTTTCAATTATCCAACTATATAAGTAACTAACTATACAACTATCCAACTATATAAGTAACTAACTATACAACTATATAAGTATCCAACTATCCAACTATATAAGTAACTAACTATCCAACTATATAAGTATCCAACTTTTCATTTATCCAACTATATAAGTAACTTACTATCCTACTATCCAACTATATAAGTATCCAACTATCCAACTATCCAACTATATAAGTATCCAACTATACAACTATATAAGTAACCAACTATACAACTATACAATTATCCAACTATATAAGTAACTACCTATCCAACTATCCAACTATCCAACTATATAAGTAACTAACTATCCAACTATCCAACTATATAAGTATCCAACTATCCGACTATATAAGTATACAACTATCCAATTATACAACTATCCAACTATCCAACTATATAAGTAACTAACTATCCAACTATATAAGTATCCAACTATACAACTATATAAGTATCCACTATCCAATTATCCAACTATATAAGTATCCAACTATATAATTATCCAACTATATAAATATACAACTATACAATTATCCAACTATCCGACTATATAAGTATCCAACTATCCAGCTATATAAGTATCCAACTATCCAACTATATAAGTGTCCAACTATCCGACTATATAAGTATCCAACTATACAATTATCCAACTATATAAGTATCCAACTATCCAACTACATAAGTATCCAACTATACAACTATCCAACTATATAAGTATCCAACTATATAAGTATCCAACTATCCGACTATATAAGTATCCAACTATCCAATTATCCAATTATCTAACTATATAAGTATCCAACTATCCAAATATCCGACTATATAAGTATCCAACTATCCAATTATCTAACTATATAAGTATCCAACTATCCAAATATCCGACTATATAAGTATCCAACTATCCAACTATCCCACTTGTTTACTCCCACCACACAGTATGGTGAGATTATATCCTGCCGCTTGGGAAAGGGTCACGATGGGAAGTTTAAGGGATTCGCTTTCGTTGAATTCAAGACTGAGGTGTGTGCTATAGTATGCAGTCAGGCCACCTGCACACTCGGCAAACCATGTCGTGCACATCCAACACAGCCTACGGAATATGTACATTCACGCACAGATAGGCTATTTGCGTGTCATTGGTTTCTCGTTGACGCTGTGCTATTTTTAAGCCAGTTAAATGCTTTATCCTCGTGATTGGATTGGCCTATCACGGGCATAACCACATCGGTGGTTCATTTGCGCCACATTCAACCACCTATCATCGGTGCCGTGTGTAAGGCAATGTGGTACATATCTTTTGCTTGGGTTCCGGTACTACCGCTCTGCCAAGTACCCATCATGTCGCTCAGACCCGTAGCTATACTTTCTGCTTGACAATACGACGCTGACATTTTCTTGAACGTACGTATCAAGTGTGAGTGGGTTATGGTGCGTACCCTATGTGATCGCGCGCTCGTGCGTGCCGTCCGAGAGCATAGACCACGTGTTCGTGGATTTTGCGCATACGTACTCTCTAGTTGTCTTGCATACAAGCATGCGGTCGTCCCGGGCCCCAGTGTTTGTAGACTATTCAACTACGCTCTAAGCCATGTCCGGTGGGTTGTAGATAACTACAAGGACGACTACAAGCTGGCTTTTTTTCTGTTTAAGCTATGTATGCCTGGCACAAGTCAGATATATTCGCAATGCTTCCTAGCATAGCTACTAAGTACTCTCGAGTGCTCATTGGCTGCCGCTAGTGCACACGTGGGTGCGTGGTTCATGCGCATTTATGGGCTGAATCTAGTGGCCTGTGGCCATATAAGACGTGCTCATGCGCCGTAGGTACACCACATTTGCTGCGTGTTCTCATGAACTCTCTTCAGCAGTTGGCTGATCCATTCCTCTCTCTTCGGTAAGTTCTTTACCCTTGTCTGATGGCAACTCAATCCCTAGCGTGTGCGACTCATAGTTTGCTACACACCCTTTGCTGTTGTCCAGGATGAGGCGAAACGTGCCTTGGAAGCGCTACATAATACCGACACCGGAAACAGCCCGTTGTACGTCGCGTTGTCGTCTGACAAGGTATGCCAGTAGTGGACTTGTGGTCTAAAGTTATGTTTGACGGATATGTTACATGTGACTATGATAAATTTATTGCAATATGTATATATATATATAACTATTATATATATAGATATGTGTTTGTGAGTGTGTTTGTGCGTATATATATATATATATATATATATTTGTGTATATATGTATTTGTGTGTGCGTATGTGTATATGTGGGTGAGTGGGCGGGTGGGTATATATTTTATATGTATGTATGTATGTATATATATTTATATGTATGTATGTATGTATATATATTTGTATGTATGTATGTATGTATATATGTTTATATATATATATTGTGTGTGTCTGTGTATATATATGATGAAGACAAGCATGAGTTAGTGCGGTCGTGTACTGTACTACTGTACCTTGAGTATCATTTGATACTTACGATCTTCTTTTGTGCTTTTTTGACTTCGGACTTTGACTAAGCGATTTGTATTTTCTTACGCGTATCGTTGAACTTCACACACGTTATAAGCATGTCATCGAATTGTTCCATATGATATTATTCAAGTATGTACCATGGACATATATTCGTCAGCAGAGCCTACTAATCTGCTTAAAATGATTATCGTTAGGAGATATTCGATCCTCATCACACCTTAGTACCCGATTTTGGCTGGGCATCCGCAGAGACGCCACACATGCAGTTCTAAGAGAGATCTTTCTCGGAGCCTCGCGTCGATACCCCTTTGCATCCAAAGCAGTTTACTTATCTATCAACTACGCTCGCTATCAGTCTGGGGCCAAGAAAGAGAAGGATGCGAATAAACCTGTGGCCGGTAGGTCGAGTAGTGCTATCGCGATGGATGGTATCGCCGCGCCTGTCAAATCTGCTAAGCGGCTTGTTCCTAGGATGGTGAAACGGATTGGCAAAACGCCTGCCCCCAGGATAAGACCTGTGAGTGCCAAGGTGAGTGAAGTGGCCCACGAATCATACAAAACGTGCACGCGTGTTGGACATTTGTACTACGTATATACTAATTTCGGTCCGTATATGCTGTGTGTGGATTTGTGCAACGCTCATATAAAACGTAACGAGTGTCGAACTATTCTGAAGAGAGCATTATATGCTAACTGCAATTTTGAGTTTGGCATTCACTTTTAGTTTTTCATACATCAATCACATATAGATGTAGTGGGTAAACGGTGTTGAATGCTTTCAACATGTATATTTCTTGTACTTTCTTCGTCGCACGCATTTGAACATCCATCAAAAACAAAGTGTTCTGATAAGTATCTCTTATTGATATCTACGCATATGTCCATGATTTTGATGTGCATGCTACGTTGCTCGCCTATGTATACTAGCAAGAAAAAATAGTTGTAGTTATGGCAGTACGTTACCGTCAACATTTTACAAATGAATACGAATTTGAATATAATATATGTATATTTGTATATATATATATATGTATGTATATATACATATATAATATATATATATATATAGTGTGTACGCGTGTTTGTGTCATGTATACATATATATGTGTCTGTGTCTGTGTGTTTGTGTGTGTTTGTGTGCATATATATATATGTATATTTGTATATACGAATATATATATAAAGACCTGCATGCTTCAATTCTATGCCCACAGCTATTTCACTGCTTGGGTATCAGCTGTTCTGCTGGCGTGATAGTGCAGACAGGTCATTTTCTTTAGTGGGAAAAATATATGTATGGTGAGTGCACCTGACCGGCATACTTGTATCGTTTATAAACTGCTGGAGACTCGATCTTGATTGTGTCTAATTTTGCTACGACTACATGTTGCATGAGTAACCTGGGTATTTTATTGATTTCCCCAATCGTTTTATATTCATTTCGTACCGCAAAGTCGGCGAATCCAAATGCCTCTTCGAGCCCGAAAGCAGCAGAAGATGACAAAGTACCGACACGCGCATCTGCTGGAACACTGTGTAACGCTGACTTTAAATCAATGCTTACTAAACAATAACCGACCAGGACAATAGAACGCGATCGCATTGAAACTGTCACCAACCTTCGTGTCGTGTACTACTAGTTCACTGCTTTCAGCAATCCAGGCCTATGGTGATAGCCGTACAGCTTTTATTGCGCTGCGTTTGTGTCAGTATTTCTTACACCACTTTCATGGAGAAAAAATATCTAAAATTCGGCCTTTAATATTGTGTGTGTGTATATGTTTGTGTGAATGATGTGTACATGTATATTATATATAATTAATTTATATATTATATCTATTTCATATATATATATATATATATAAGTATATTTAAAATATATATATGGATAGTGTATGTATAAATAAATAAATATATTAATATATAACTTTATCAAACTCTCCCGAAGTATTGAATATATTCGATGTACGACCTCGTTGTGACAGAATTTTATTGTACGGACGAGATCTAGCTGTCTGCCATTAGCAGTCAAGCTACTACTGAGGGACATCACTTGAAATGCTACTGAGACCTCTCTAGGGGGCGAAACTGGGTTGAGGTGTAGGTGAAGGTGAAGTACTGGCAAAGTTACCGTAGCTAAAGTTAATCTCTAGAGCACTTTCCAGCTCGATAACGTATGGATTGGCTCTACCTTGAGTCTGCAAATTAATAGTAGCACCGCTCTGGCTTCGAGTTGTGGCAGGTGCCTCAATTGTCACATCTGTTGGTAGATCCATGATATTCATGAAAGAGTACTTACCCGCAGCATCTGTGACTACTTGGAAGTCATTTCCATTGGCCGAAATTGTAACTACCACACCCGCCAACTTAGCTCCAGATCCAGTTTGAGTAATCGTACCAAATACTTCTCCTGGAGGTGCATAGATAAACTTGGGAGGTGCTGTTTCTCCAACTGTGCCAAACTGCAGTCTTGCGGAAGTCAGCGTGTATGTTACATTTCCTACCGCGAACGTCGCAGGGGCAGTGAAAGTGTACTCTACTCCATCTTCTAGGTCGAAAAAGAATGCCTCGCCGGTGGATTCAGTTTGTGCAAACAGACTGAATTCGCCAGTTGGGGTGTATTCGACGGTCAATCCCTGAACAGCTGTGCCGTCAGCCAACTCGGCGATGGCAACTGCGGAACCTTCCGGGAGGGCAAAAATAGTGGCTGGGATGGCTGTGGTAGCAGGGAATGCGATGATTGATTCACATCCGTTGGGCAGGGCGATGTCGAATATAATACCATTTGAACCCATGAATCGTAATGACACTATGCAAATCTCCCACGTTCCAGGTGCGACGGGGGTATCGTATATACCCTCATCATTGGTACTTATTACGATAGTATCGCCAGCAGCACGGCGGCGACCGGTTGCGCCACCAATATCTGCTATCTGTGTTAGACGCACTTGGCTTCCTGCTACAGGCTGGGCTCCGCCAACTGGCGAAACACTACCTGCTACACTTCCTGCTACAGGCTGGGCTCCTCCAACTGGCGAAGACGCTAGAATCTGTCCAGTGATCCTCGCTGTATGGTCCCGATAGGGTGAATAAATCAAAATTGAGGTTAATGAGTAAAGCCATAGTCAAGATATATTATGTGATAACAAATAGAGCGCTCTGAAGATCTAACTAGAGGACAATATGAAATTACACAAAACACCACTTCACTGAAAGTTATTAATTACGACTTACAGCAGACTACATCGGGACCATCGACACAAAATTCACAGCCAGCGGGGTTGAGGCAGACTACTTCGCCCGATCCACCAGGGACTGCAGTGTTTCCGTAACCTTCCAATTGACCGCCGTAAGCGCATCGCGTGGAGTTTTCGTTCACGCATTCCACTACATTGCATAACTTTACGTTTTGTGGGCATTGCAAACAAATTAAATCTGGGGTTGTGTAGTATCCCTTTTTGCAGGATGAAGCTCCTGAAACAGGGGGACATATAGGATCACCATACCACATGCTTCCATCATTAGTTAATGGACACGCAGGTGCAAGACAATCATTTAGGGCTGCACTTGATGAGCAGGTCACACATTCGCAGTCGGGACTACCCGGATTCTCATTGTCACAAACTTGCCCAGTTGGACAAATAACGAATGTCTTTCCGTTGGCACCATTGTCAGGTGCGTACTGAGGATCTTCTCCATCCAGGCATGGTGTTGTAATATTCCGGTCTGAATTGGAAGTCTTCGTGAAGGTGACCTCTTCAATACGAAGCGTTGGCAACACATTGATATGGTCCTGTGTAGCCGCACACATAGCCTCGAGACATGGTAGATTGCACACATGCAGAACAATTTGAGAAGTGTGATCATCACTGGCAGATGCAAATGCAGCCTCGAGGTCGGCCTCGCTGTGAGATGCAGCATATTGTCGAGCACACGCGCCTGCGTTGCTCATGTTTTGTGTATTTACACACCAATCATATGTGTCTACATCGTCCACATTCGCTGCAATTACGTTCAAGTACCCAGTGATGAAGGCAACAGCCCAATCATCGTCCATAAGATCGCCCGCTTTAGTGATCTGAATCCATCCGCCGTCGCACCAGAACTCATCGGTGGGCTGTACGGAGCTTGTGATGAAGACTTCGGTGAACTCGAACTGAGTTTGAGTCTCAGTGACTGTGGGTGCTGGACGATTCGACATGTGGTACCATGCCTTGTCAATGATTTTGCCGTTACCGGCTCTAACGATACCCTCCTTCTTGTGTACGCGTGGTTTGCCGTGTCCGAAGCTTGGCCAATAGTTTTCCCAGTCACCAGATTCCGTAGGTTCAGGACCGGGTGTACCGGCAGAAAATGAAACACCGTGATTATTAATGACTCGGCCGCCAGCATCAACTACAGTTCCCTCCGCAGCTGCGTTGCCAGCTCCATCCTCCGTGTAGGAACGACCATACTTATCCTTCCCAAACTTATTGAAGCCCGTGTATGTGAAACCTTCAGCTCCGTATCCGTCAACATCGAATGCTTTACCCTTATGTGAAAAGTATGCCATCTCATTTTGGGCGCTAACCAAGGCGGTGGCTGCAAGAGCTGCTGCTGTCTTTAGGAACGGATTCATGATGCACACCTTCTACTGTAAGAATCACTTAAAGGTATAAGAAGTGCCGATGAATTGGGATTGTTTGTGTTATATATACTGTATTACTGGGGTGATAGAAGATGTGGGTTTTTTTCTCGCTGGAATCATTCACCACTCTCTCCCTCTAATAAAGTAGTTGGGCAGCCCCAGGCCCCAGTCCTCAGGCAGCTATTTATTTTACAACCTAGTAGTTTACTCTTTCACGAAATCGAAAATGTCGAATTTTACTCTAGCACCAACAAGCGACAGCGGATTTCGAACATAACAAACTTTTTGTTTGTTTTTAATAATATTTTGAATGTGATATTAAAAAATATTCCATCAATGTTGGAAGTAAATTATTGTACCAGGAATATATAAGACGCAATATATAATTTTCACAGTACAACGTTTGTATTATATTATATACCAATTAGTACGTAGTGTATATTATGTTTTTTATTTTTAGTTAATACGTACAAATTCAAAATATTTTGTTTATCCCAATCGTTACTCGTTGTCAAGCTAGTACAGTATATGCGAGGCAGACCAATCCAATTTCTGTGACGATTGGTAACTATCCTATAGTCCAATTGAAATTGAATTTGTAAATTGAATTTGTAATGTCTATCCGCGTCGTCTTTTGAAATATGTCAGTAGCGAGCGGCGCCGAGCGCTCTCTCTCCAATCTCTCTCTACTATATACTCTCTACTAATAGTAGTAGTCTCAGTCAGAGCGAGCTATTTTGATTAATCTGATAGAGGCAATTGGCAAAGGGAAGTACAAAGAGGGCCTTTTCATAGCCTTCTAAAAAAACAGGCTTTTAGAGGGCGACATCATGAAATGTCAAATGTTTGTGACATGTTTCAATGTTTGTGCATGTCAAATCCTCGACACTTTTAATATATTTATTATTTTTATATTTATATATGTGTATATACATACTATCTGGAAATATGAAAACAATTTGTGCGATCTCAGCCCAAGAATGAGAAGAATAACGTCTAGTGATCAATCCTTGCGTCATACTTGTGTCTCATAGATTATGACAGACAAAACGAACTCAATTACGGTCTTGAACTCGACGGCAGAAGTTATGGCATCAACCGTGTGCATCAACACCGATGCATTAACAACACTTCACATACGAAAAGGTAACTGAATCATATCCAGTCGAACAAATAAAGACCAGCTGCAGAAGTAATCATATTAAAGGGATACATATTATATATATATATATATATATATATTCATATATATATATATATATACGTGCGTGTGTGTAAATTAGTGTATAAATATATATGTATGTAGGTGTATAATATATATATATATATATATGTATATGTATAAATACGTGTATGTGGGTGTATGGGTGTGGGTATGTGTGTGTGTGTGAGTGTATATATATGTATATACATATAATACACACATATATATATATACACGTGTGTGTGCGCGCTTGTGTGTGTGCGCGCTTGTGTGTGTACGAACAATACATATATATATATATATATATATGTGTGTGTGTGTGTGTGTAATATATTTGTGTGCGTGTGTGTGTAATATATTTATGTGTGTGTGTGTGTATACATATATATATATGTCTGTGTGTATGTATGTGTAAATATCTATCTGTGTGTGTATGTGTAAATGGGTATGTATATGTATATGTATGTAAGTGTATATATATATATATATATATATATCCATACCCATGTATAAACATACATACATACATACATATCTATGCAATTACACACGTGCGCGCTTGCAAAAACTGTTATGCATGTTAATGTATATGTATATATATATATATATATATATCTGTGTGTGTATATGTATGGATAATATAAAAACATATATATGTATATATTTGTGTACACGTGTATGTGTATTTTTGTATATATGTGTATGTGTATATGTGTTTGTATATATTTATCCATCCACCGATACATACATGAATGTATACATACATACATAATTATATATATATACATATATATATAAATAACTATGATCTATGCAACTATATATCTCCTTATCTATCGATGTATACATGCATACATATAGATATATGTATATATATATATATAGAATAGTATAGTATATTATGTGTATGTATATGTATTTATGTAACTATCTGTATATGTATATGGACTTTCATACCTATATGCAGATGAAATTTTTAAACAGTACAAAGGTTAATTCACAGACCGCCTCTATGCTAAAAGTATGTATACAGATATGTGCATGTGTATGAGTACACGAATAGGCATGTGTGTGAGCATACGAATAGGTATGTTTAGATGAATGGGTACGTCATTATATATGCTTTTGCTTGTGTAAATAGGCATGAGTATGCGGTTATGTGTATGGTATGTGTGGGTGGGAAGGTATAGGATTTTTGGGTGTGTATTCAGATATGTGTTTGTGTATGTGAATAGCCGTGTGTAAGAGTATATGGATAGGTGTGTGCACGTGCTAGTGAATAGACATGTGCATGTTCAGCGCTTGGGTATGCCAATATGTATGTGCACAATTATGAGTGTGTGAATAGGTATGCTCATTTGAATGAGATTAGATATGAGCATGTGAGTGTGAGTGTGAATAAGCTTGTGTATGTATATGTGAACTGGACGGTATATGTATGTGTGGGAGAACAGACATGTGCATGTGAATTGGGTATGCCATTAGGTATATTCATGTGTATGTGTGAGTGGATAGGCTTGTGCATAAGTGTGCAGGTAGGTGTGTGTGTGTAAATAGGAATGATGATGTGTATGTAGATAGTAATGACTATATGCCTGTATATGTGAAGTAGTGAGGGAAAACGTCTGGAAACTTTGAACCTCATCAGGGCTCCACTTAGCCGAACATGCATCGGTGGGCTGTAGCGAGTAGCGATAGAGGCCAGTCCAGTGGCCGGTGGCCACGACATGCAGTTAAACGTAAACGTATATTTATCTGTTTATGGAAAATACGGGGGGGGGTTTTAGCCGCAAGTGACGGCAAGGATTTTTTGCTTTTATTTTTTAAATTGATGTCTTGATGACCCAGTCCGGTTTATTTACGTCTCACGACTCCATAGTCCATAGAGCCTACTACTAAATATAACATAGAAGCTACGGAGGGCCCCAAGCGACCTAAATATTTAGACAGTGAGGCCGGTGAAATTTATTTACTGGTTTTGTTTCTTTTACCCATTTTTGCTTCTTTTTTTTGTATAAAAAACAATAGAAAATATTTTTTCTGATTTTATAATAAAAAGCCCGCCTTCGGGCTTCGCGTCCTTGTGATTGGGTAACTTCATCAGCTTGCGCGCCAAAATACGCCAAAGTGTCAGGCTGTCAATGTATTTACAAAATACTCAAATATTTTAGGCATATGACTGAACACTGCCGTACTCGGTACTGGCTGGCTATGTACATCCTGCACACGGTGCACAGTGATGAGTGAACAGTCACAGTCTGAGACTCCGAGTCAGTCAGTCAGTCAGTCAGTCAATCAATCAGTCAATCAATCAGTCAGTCAGTCAGTCAGTTAGTTAGTCAGTTATTAGTCAATCAGTTAGTTGGTCAGTTAGTCAGTCACTTAAATAGTCAGTCAGTTGGCAGAGCACTCAGCACTCACAAACAAAACTAGCTGTTCGGGGCTTCGGGGCCTGGGCTATGCCGCTATGGAGGGGGGCCCCGAGTTTAAAAAAACAAAAACAAATAAATACATAAATAAATAGTGACAGAGCCTGGGAGCCGTCGAGAAGTATTTTTTTTTCAAAACAAAAATACAACAACGAAAACAACCAAAGCCTCCTGAAAACATTTAAAACAGAACAATAGAAAGTGAGAAACCCAAGACCTGAGACTCGGCTGAGACACCTCTCTCCTTCTCTCTCTCTCGTATGTGTGAGTACTATTCTGTATTCAAAATCCAAAACCGGTAAATAAAAATAGTAACAGTACATGGTAAAATATTCACATAGAGATATAGATAGCCGCTCATCTCGCAACAAGTATATATTTTTATAACAATCAAGTAGAAAATCAAGAAAAGCACGAAGAATGTCTGACACGATGGATGGCAAAGATTCTGCGACGGAAGCTCAACAAAGTGTGGAAGCTGCTGATACAAAAACAAATTCTTCAACAACAGCTGATAGCAATACAGAGGAGATGCAGAAAGACGAAGGTATCGATGTCAGCGAAGCGGGACGTGAAACGTTGCAGTGTCCAATCATGTGTAATCTATACATATCGATGTGAGGTGTTTTTTTTGTATTTTTCATTGTATGTATATTGGTAACTTATTTCTCTTGTAGGACAATATTCACATGCAATATATATATATATATATATATATATATAGTATATATATATATATATATATGTGTGTGTGTGTGTGTGTGTGTGTGTATATATGTATATATATATGCATACATATATGTATATATATATATATACATATATATATACATATATATATATATATATGTCTGTGCCTGTGTCTGTGTCTGTATTCTTGTCTGTGTATGTATGTGTTTGTATGTGTGTAATATACATATATATATATGTGTGTGTGTGTGTCTGTGTCTGTGTCTGTGTCTGTATCTGTGTCTGTGTAAGTGTATGTGTCTGTGTATCTTTCTGTGTGTATATACATATATGTGCGTGTGTCTGCGTCTGTGTACGTATGTATGTATATATGTATGTATGCATCTGTATATATAAAGTAGTCCGTATCTGTATATATATATATGTGTGTGTGTGTGTGAGTGTGTGTACGTATATATATATATATGTGTGTGTGTGTGTGTGTGTGTGTGTGTATGTATGTATGCATTGATATATATCTGTATATATATATCTGTATATATATATCTGTTTATAAATGTATATATATTTATATATATATGTATATATATCTGTATATGTATATATATATATGTGTGTGTGTGTATTTGTGTATATATCTGTGTGTGTGCGTGTGTGTGTGTATATATGTACATATTCATATATGTCTATGTTTATGTATATATATATATATATATATGTATCGTTCTTGTATATATATATATATGTTTATGTTTATGTATCTGTATATATTGTTCTTCTGTATATATATATACATATATATATATATATATATATTGTACTTGTACTTGTACATACGTATACAAGTATATATATGTGTGTGTGTGTGTGTCTACCTGTCTGTGCATGTATATTTTATTCAATATACAATTTCAATATCTGCGCACACACATATATATGTATATATATATGTGTGTCTGTGTGTGTTTGCATGTATTTGCATTTGTATGGATGTCCCAATTGAAACCACTCATGTCTCTCATTGTGTTGCAAGCAATATTCATGCATTTCTTTGTGTTTCGCTGTATGCTTTTGTATTTTGGCTACACCCCTGTTCGCAAGTTTTGAATAGAATTTATACAACTGATAATGGCTCTCCGGTAGCATTAATTCTTCAAGGTTTGTTGTTGTTGTTTCATTTGGGTTTCTACTAGACATACTTGACTGTAGCTACTTGTGTTCTGACTGTACTTCGCGATCAAAATTATCGTTTGCTATCCCGCTTCCAGCTGCAGTATATTTTGACGTTCATTCTTCAGGATCAGTGCGGTAGCTATACGATTAAGAGAGTTGTTTACGCCTGTCTACGAGGATGCAAGTTTGCTCGAGTGCGAGTCATGTGAGCATTCCCCGCAATATGTTGAGCGCTAAACGAATGTTCTCAAAAGACTGTCCTTTCCGTGTACGGGCCGGGCCATAACCGTTGTTTTCAGTTGTCGTGCAAATAACCACAGTCTGAACTAACATACATACTCATGTGGCAACACAAACCTGAACAGCGGTTGCTAAGGATGGAGTTGAGGTGACTGCAAGCACGACTGAAAACGCGACATTGGAGAAGACTGAGACCCCTGCAGCCCAACCCGAAAGCAAGGAAGCCAGCCCTGAACCTGTCAAGACGGATACGAAGCAAGATGCCAGTGAGAAAACAGACTCCGAAGCGGAGTCGGAAGACGGTGAGCCCAGTGTCGCACTATTCAACGCAGACCCAGTCATCTCTGGCAAAAGGCAGAGAACCACTACGGACAGATTAGCCACCCACCAGCCGGTGGTTAAGAGAGCTAAGGCCCAGCCAAAGGGTATGGTTGTCTGCACGCGCAGTGCAGTGCAGCGTGTGTGTGTATGTCGCATGCCTGCACGCGCAGTGCAGTGCAGCGTGTGTATGTATGTCGCATGCCTGTACGCGCAGTGCAGTTGTGCATTTCGGTTATGCATCGGGTGCGCTGTATAGGATTTCATCCTGCGTTCGTACCACGTGTCTGCATCTGTTCGTAAGAGTATCTCTCGTGACGCGGAGAAGACATCAGATGCTTGATTTCGCAATCACACACACACTCATGCACGTGATACTGGATTGATTGCCACATATATATCTAATAGCTCGATTAAAGTATATATCAACTCAAGCTGCATGCTATATGTACTCGCTATATCTATCGCTGAGCGATACTCGCATGCCACACTCACGTCACAGCTGAATTGGCGCCCCCGAACTTGCAGGTAAAGGCACGCCTCTGGGACAAATCTCGATGATTGAGGAGAAGCTGAAGAAGCACAAGACTGATGATTTACATGATCTGCATCGTTTGTGCTTTGGCTCGAAAGGGTCGAGGCTGGAGGTCAGAAAGAACCTGCGGCTATTCAAGGGCTTTGACTATGATAGCAACCCCGCTATTAAGGATAAGGTACCGTCACTCGTATAGAAATAGCCATAAATTGATTGCTGGATAGTACGGTTGTGATAGACATATGCACAATGTGCCTAGAGTGCCTGGTGTATAAATAGCGTTGAGACGCGCTGAGGGATGAAACGGTTGTTAGTCTTGTACTTTAATACACATTTTAAGTGCGGACACATGAGTAGAAGCCTCACTTCCACCCTAACACATGTCGGTATATCGAGTTATCCGCAATTGTTTGTACTTGTCTTTTTCAAGCTCTATGCTATTTCATAAATTCGCCTTTAAAGATCCATGCTATTTGTATTTACGTGCATTGGTATTAGCTGTTAGGTTGCACACAACTATATGGGTTTGATTGTGCGCTTGGTAAGTATATGTGGCTCAGGCGCACGGCATTATCAGCTGCCTAAACCTTGCGCTCGATGAATGCACATGCTACACAGACCCAAAACTCGCTGGAGAAACGGCACATGCCAGCTCTCAGAACAATGTGTGATGTCATATGCATTTCACACTCGGGCGACAAGGAGACGCTCATGGACAACATCATGGACTTCTTGAACAGCCCAAATGAGAGTGAGTGTGTAGCTGAGAAGAAACCAAAAGCAAAGGCAAAGGTAAGGTCGTTAAAAGTCCGGACATGTACGTTCTGAGGGTTTATTGAGCACGCCCAATTCTGAAGTTTGCTGTTTTCCCCTCTGACTCCTCGTGTATCCGTTGGCTAAGTATTTGCACATGCATCGAGTATTATAAAACCCGCATAGTGCACATACCGGTAAGTGACAGAGTAGTTGAACTGGCCCCTATTGCTGTAGACGCTTAACGTGTGATGAATGATTGTATGGCGCATTGGCGACGCCCAGATATATGTGATTACTCACTTATCTGCTTCCGTGCTCCTACTGACAGACAAGCGGGAAAAAGAAAACCAGCAAGAAGACTGCCAAAGCAAGCAAGCCCGAGCGCGCGCCATCAGCGTACAACCTATTCATCAAGCACAACCGACAGAAAGCGGTGACAAAGGTACAGTCTGTGTGGATATCTGGTGTTATTTGTGGCGTGCAAATAGTTATCATTATTGAGTTTTACATTTCTTACCTATTTCGTATTCGATTTGGCTTTCGCACGCATGCGACTCGGCCGTTGACCACATTACTTTTTGTCACGTTCGGGTGTCTCAGACAACCAATGCGAGAATTTTCTTCTGCGGCCGATTGCATCCAGAATATGCACCTATATAGCTGAATGCTGAACGTAGCACTTGGTGGACTGATTTCTCTTTTACACCACACGGCAGTTCCCGGATGTAAAGAACACCGAGATTATGTCCAAGATGAGTGAAATGTGGAAGGAATGTTCGAAGGAGGAAAAGGCGAAGTACACGAAAATGGCCGAAGATGCGAAGGCGTATGTGGCGTGCTTGTCGATTGTTTGACCCTTCCGAAATTGGATTTAGTGCATATACGATGACAATATGGTACCGAGAGTTGTTGCCTTTCATCTTATCCCTCTCAATAAGGATTAGTATCCTAGCTTAAGGCTACGTACAGCGACCTTGTTTGTATGTTGTGGGAGTGCTGACTATCTTAAGTACCGCTACACATAAGATTGTTATTCACAACTTGTTGTCGGCCATGTGCATTCGATATAGTAATCTGCGGGCATTTGGGTTGCCATATCTGTAAGCGGAGCATTCTACAGTTGGAAATGTACCTGTATTCTGTGCGTTGCATTCTGCAACGTGTAAACGTTCAAACTCTCCCAACCAAAGTATCGCGATAAGTGACTAGTATGAACACCTTTCTGAGTGTTCTGTTTCAAGCGCAATGACTATGTAGCTGGCCTGACATCACCGTAGACAGGTCGTCCTCTTTTGAGGCTATGCCTGTACGTATGGCCCATTGATATCCACGCCTATCCTCCATAGTGCTTTGGGGAATACATCCGTGAAAAAGTCAGTCAAAACGAGCGCCAAACCGAACGCCAAGAAACAAAAACCGGCGGAATCAAGTGAGGATGACGAGAGCGAGGAAGATGATGTACGTTTGTGTTTCGTTTTCAGTTCTTTTGTTCTTTCTGATGTAATTTACATCGCTTTTGCGATGTCGCGTACACCGGTAGGTTGCCAGATTTGTATAAGAGTATAGTATAGACATGACCATGCGTACAGCTGTGGTATGCTGTAAATAGTATCATGTCTGGCCTGCTCACTCCTACCTATCACATAGCTTCAAAGACCAACTATGCATAGACTTACAGCTGATATATCTGGACGGAGTGGTAAGAACTGCGAGTCTGAGCGCTGCCTGCATGACCAAAAATCCAATGATGTGAATGCCCCGCACAACTTTTTTGATTTGTACTATCTCAGCTCTGATACCTACAACTATATGTCTCGCTCACAGGACGAAGAGGAGGCCGCAGAAGGTGACAGTGATGATGATGCGCCGATCGCTAAAAAGGTGACGTGAAGTCTGGATTCAATATACGTACATTTTATGCAACACTCACGCATCTATGTGGTATAGTAGTATATTGGAAATGTGATGTTCCTGCTTGGTCCCATCAGGTGTTGCATACTAGTAGTCGTACATTCATTGGTTTGAGCTGTATCTGAAAGCAGCGTCACACGCCATTCTGTTTTAAAACCGTTCCTGTACGATGTTCGCATGTCCGAGATTAGTACTTGAGCATTCCGAAATTTCAACTTCTTGGATATGGGTTCCGGAGTAATGCTTTATATCGAGGGATGTGCAGAATAGCACATTGCTCTCACCGATTATACAATGATAGGATTGAAATGAAAGTACTTGACTTCTTTTGTACAATTTCGTCACTATCTATAATCTCCTGCAGAGAAATTCCTCTTCGTACCTCTCCTATCCAGGGAGTCTTGAATTTGGGCTTGTCCACTTTTCTGATTAAATTACCCGATTTTATTCCCCTTTCCTGAACCGTTTATAGGCAAAGACTGGTCCTACGGACAATGAAATCAAAAAAGAAATCAGGAAGATTGTCAAGAAAGGTATTTGACCCCTTTTTTAGCGTTTCGACCTCTTAATTTCAATTGTGTTTTATAGTTTCTGGAAATGGGCACACTCATCATCTTCCCGTATACAATACTTGAACAGAAATGCACATGATTGCACCTTGTTTTTGTGGATCTTCTTATCTGATAAGAATTGTATCATCACACCGCTTCTCTCCGTAGTTGGTGCGGGAATCACATTTGGACAAGTTCGCAAAGGCCTGACTGAGAGCTTCCCAACGTTGGATATCACACAACGGAAGGCAGAATTGAAGAAGATGGCAACAACGATTCTACAGGTATGTATGCCTGTATACATGTTTTGTGGGTGCATGGCACATTTTTGTCGTATATGGAATCGAGATGCAGAATGAAACCGAAAGTCACAAAAAAAAAATGCCCTTCTGTTGTAGCATATAGAATTGACAACTTCGAATGTGCAAAAAAAAAAATAGTGTGCATCGTCAGGATTCATTGTTAAGCACATTTACGCGCACGTCCTAAGAAATGTGACACTATAAGTGGTGTAGTGTGGTGTGGTGTGGTGTAGCATGGATTGGAATCCAAAAGCACCTAGGCCATGCTACATCGAAAGTCCTTCTATTAGCCTTTTCGATCACAGAGACGCTATCTCGTCGCAAAACCTGTCTAAGCGCATGCTTGCGATCATTAACCAACGAACACTCCCAATACTGACTTCGCAAATTCGAAATGCAAATATCGATCCACTTCACATAGGGATGAGTTGACGAGTCTCAACTACCCGGTCCTTGCTCCATATTAATGGCTTCTATCCCATTCGCAAACTGGACCTGAGTAGGGAAATGATCCACGTACTACCGATATAAGAAGTACAAATACATCGTTATGCTTATATCTATCTCTTCGGACTTTGTAGCTTCATCACTTGAATCTGTATCAATATCAGCCATAACAAAAATAAAGTAAAACAAGATCGCAAACTAGACAGCGGCTTGCATTCTAATTAGCCTAGTGCGCCAACCGCGACCAGCTCCGAAATTTTGCCGAACAATCAAATTCAGGAATTCTTTGGTATTGTTAATTGCGCTTTTTGTTCAGATCGAGGCCAATCATTGAACCGTTAAATGAGGACCAACGGAGATAGATGACGATATGAGTTGTGACTTCAGCTAGCTCGAGTTCAAAATTTTGCTTTTAGGCGTTCTCCACTGGTCAACTTTATTTCTTTGTTTGTATCTGGTATTTAAAGCTTGAGCCCTCCAATAACACGGCCGGAACATATACTAGCATACGATATGAATTTGATCCTACCGATTTCAATAGGATGTTTATATATATTCGTTGATGCTGCAAACATGAAGTTTGAATTTTAGGTTGTCTTGAGCAAATATATGCTTGAAGCATTCGTGGCCAAGCAAAGTTTTCAACTGTCTGAGCCTTTCTTTTGTAGCAGTCACGTTGAAATTTAAGTCATTATGCGACCTGGCCTTCAGTAATCTGGATTCAAATTCGTTGTACTTCTGCCGCTTGTGGTCCCTTTCCAATGTCGGGACAGAAAGTGTGACGTTTCACATATTTGACAATCATTTTGGAATATGCGAGTTCAGGTTACATTAGGATATTGCAACATTCTTTGTATTTACTGCTCTCGAGGAAGTATTCTGTTTGGATGCAAGAAACTGATTGGTAGCCCGAAAGTGTAATCTTGCCACCACTAATACAAATCCCGATTGTTACCACGAAATTTGTGCTCCGGGGTGACAGCCAGATTTAATGACAGTCTTGTATTCGAACAAGCGAATCGAAAGGACCAAAAGTCGAGAGACAAATATCACAGCTATTGAGCGTCACCTCACCGATGTCGCTACCAAGAGAGTTTAAATTTCTGTAATTATCGATAGTACTCACTGCAGATAGTCGGCATAGATTACATACATACCGTGATTAGAGTCAGCCCCAGCGTTTAATCTCATAATTACGAAAGTATGCTAGTCGTTTTTATGTTCTCATGAAGTATTTTCCCATTTCAATAATTAGGTCAATTCCTATATATAT